GACCAAAGGCGGTGGCAAATATGAGAAACTGCTCCAGAAAAGCTCAAGTTGAACAATGCGATTCAGTTGAAATTTGGAAGAGCGGAGGGAGGGGGAGGGGAGAGGGACACTATTTTTGAGTTGAAGGCAAAAGGTGACAGATATTGAAAAACGCTTGCGAGTTTTCGGCTTTTAATTCCTTTTCAACGTTTCTTTTTCAACCAGAAGGAGGGAAGGTAAAAAGTGCCGCAGAAAATGACATCTTCTTTGCAGAAGTTCCTCGGGAATTTACTGGCAATCATAGGCAATGATACACATCCGCGTGAAAATCTTTCAGGTAAGCGCGCGCGGCGTTCATTTGCACAGGCGGACAACGCGACCTACTCCGCTTTACCTGCAACAAGAACCTTTGGTCGAAATAGCATAGCGTTTTGTTCCATGCGATCATAGTCAATTAAACCACTTTTTGGGTCAACCTGGAATCAATAGACCTCATGATATAGAAATACAAAATCTTTAGGGAATATGAAATAGAACAGCAAAAGACCACCTTATACGGCATAGATTGGAAGAACATGGAAGTGGCAGAGACTTTCTTAGCTGGAGTGAAGAATCTGAAAAGCTACTGTAATAACATGAACCAACAAAGATTCGGTAAAGGCTTACCCATGAGAAAGATGGCCACCATCGGGAAGATCAAGTCCCATAATTCGTCCATTCGGCTCTGCAAGCGCTGTATAGACAGCAAAGTTGGCTGGACATCCAGACAACGATTGTACATTTACACCCCATAGCTCGGGATCAAGACCAAAGACCTAAAAAGGTCATATATTTGGGTCCTGCAAGTCTAAGTTCAAGTGTCTTTCTTAAATTATCATTTGCAAGTAAAGAAAGAAAGTCGGAAGCGTAAAAAAATGCATTTAGTGCCAGCAGATTTTACGCGCCCCCCGTGATGGTCTACCGCCTCATCGTGGCGCGGGGGTGACTCTGGGTGTCGAAGTATACAGCGGAGGTTTATCCTCCAGCAGGGTCTCCCAAGCTGAGAAGAAGTTCGACGTTTCCGGTCTCCCGGATGCCCAGCTAAGAGTAGGCCATGCCAGAAGCCCCACCATCTGGCTGATTTAGTCGCTAGGTGGTTCCCTGATTGACATAAGGTCAGCAATTGCCTGTGGTGAAAGCTTGACAGGGCCTTGGCAAGGCTCTGCTAATGTATG